GTCCTGGGAGGGGACTTTAACACCACCCTCGAGGAACAGGACCGCTCAGGGGCCGAGCTGAGCCCGGTCGCTGCAAACATTCTCCGAGAAATAGTTGAACATCACTCCCTAGTAGACGTCTGGCGTGACCACCGCCCAGATGACACTTCCACGTTCACCTTTGTCCGGGTGGAGGCCCATCGGTCATACCACTCTCGGTTGGACCGTATTTATTTATCCCGTTTCCATCTTTCACAGGACCACTCCTCCAAAATTCAGCCGGCCCCATTTTCTGACCATCATCTAGCCACCGGGGTAAAATAAAAATAAAATAATATAAAAATAAAAAATAAAATAAAATAAAAATAAAATAAGGAGAGTGGGGGAAGAAACAGGAGCTGCTTCAAGCTTCAAATTCGAACTCAAAGTACTGTGGGTCGAAGTAATGGATGTGAACGTAACCATCTTCACCTCCACTGCTGTAACTCTTTCCGTCAGGATGGAAAGCAACACTGTTTATTGGACCAAAATGACCGGGGCCGGCCTATTGGCACTTTAACAACAGCCTGTTGGAGGATGAGGGCTTCGTGACGTCCTTCCGGGAGTTTTGGCTGGCCTGGTGAGAGCAGCGGCGTACCTTTCCCTTGGCGCGGCGATGGTGGGATCTAGGGAAGGTACGCGCCAAGCTCTTCTGCCGTGACTACACCCGGGGCACCAGCCGACGGAGAAATGCAGCGATAGAGCAGTTGGAACGGGAGGTCTTAGAGATGGAGAGGCATCTGGCCGCCAGCCCCGAGGACCCGTTCCTCTGTGGAGCATGCCGGGAGAAGCGGGAGGAGCTCCGGGCCCTCGAGGACCATCGGGCCCAAGGTGCCTTTGTTTGATCCCGCATCCGCCTCCTTCGGGAGATGGATCGCGGCTCCCATTTCTTCTACACCCTGGAGAAAACGAGGGGGACCACGAAACACGTCACCTACCTTCTAGCAGAAGACGGCACCCGCCTCACGGATCCGGTGGAGATGTGTGGGAGGGCCCATGACTTCTACACAAGCCTTTTCTCCCCAGATCTGACCGATCTTGGCGCTTGCAGGGTGCTCTGGGAGGAACTCCCCACGGTCAGTGTGGGCAACTGAGACCGGCTAGAGCTGCCTCTCACCCTGGCCGAGTTCTCGGAAGCCCTCCGTTGCATGTCCACCAATAAATCTCCGGGCATGGACTGGCTGACCGTGGAGTTCTACCGCGCGTTCTGGGACATCCTTGGCCCAGACCTAGCCACTGTCTGGGCCGAATCTTTGCAGGGCGGGGTCCTCCCTCTTTCGTGCAGGCGAGCAGTGCTCGCCTTGTTGCCGAAGAAGGGGGACCTCAGCGATTTACGAAACTGGTGTCCCGTCTCGCTCCTTAGCACAGACTACAAAATAGTAGCGAAAGCAATCTCGCTGTGGCTAGGGTCCGTGATGGCGGACGTGATCCACCCAGACCAGACCTATACTGTCCCGGGTCGCAGCATTTTTGACAACCTATTTCTAATCCGAGACCTTTTGGAACTCGGGCGTAGAGACAGTCTGTCGTTCGCCCTCCTGTCTTTCGATCAGGAGAAGGCGTTCGATAGAGTAGACCATGGGTACCTCCTGAGCACTCTGCAGGCGTTTGGATTCGGACCTCAGTTTGTGAGTTTTCTCCGGGTGCTGTACGCCTCCACAGAGTGTCTGGTTAGGCTCAACTGGACCCTGACCGAACCAGTCATCTTCGGGCGAGGAGTGCGGCAGGGGTGCCCCCTCTCGGGCCAGCTGTACGCTCTGGCGATCGAGCCTTTCCTCTGTCTCCTCCACAGGAGGCTGACAGGGTTGATGCTGTGGGAGCCGGAGCTGCGGCTGGTCCTGTCGGCGTACGCCGATGACATGCTCCTCATGGTCCAGGACCCGGGCGACTTGGCGCAGGTGGAGGCTTGCCAGGCCATCTATTTGGCAGCCTCCTCTGCCCGAGTCAACTGGGTCAAGAGCTCTGGCTTGGCGGTGGGGGACTGGCGGCAGGTGAGCTCCCTCCCACCCGCGCTTCAGACCATCCGGTGGAGTGCGGGTCCACTGCTCTACCTAGGCGTTTACCTTTCTGCCACGCACCCTTCCCCGCCGGAGAACTGGCAAAATTTAGAGGGCGGGGTGATAGAGCGGCTCCGGAAATGGACGAGGCTACTCCGATGTCTCTCCCTCCGAGGGAGAGCACTGGTGCTTAACCAACTAGTCCTGTCCACGCTCTGGTACCGGCTCAACACCCTAGTCCCGGCCCCGGGTTTCCTGAGCAACCTCCGGACATCGATTCTAGAGTTTTTTTGGTCAGGAATGCACTGGGCCCCTGTTGGGGTTCTTCATCTACCCCTGAAGGAAGGAGGGCAGGGCCTGAAGTGTCTGCACATTCAGGACCATGTCTTCTGCCTCCAGGCCCTGCAGAGGCTCCTTTATAGTGCAGGTAGTTCGACGTGGAGCATACTGGCGCACGCCTTCCTGCGCCGCTTCCAAGGGCTCCGATACGACCGGCAGCTCTTTTATCTCTGTCCGAGAGGTTTTCCGCGAGACCTCTCTGGGCTGCCGGTCTTCTACCAGGACCTCCTCCGGACCTGGAAACTGTTCTCAATGACCAGGTCCGTGACAGCCACCGTGGGAGCAGATCTCCTCACAGAGCCCCTGCTACACAACCCCCAGCTCCGTGTGCAGGTGGCGGAGTCCCGCTCGGTGCGCCAGAGGTTGGTCCTGGCGGAAGTCATGAGAGTCGGAGACCTCCTGGACTATGACCGGGGAGACTGGCTGGATCCCCTGACGCTCGCTCGGCGCATGGGGCTCTCCAGACCTCGTACCCCCCGGCGCGTACTTCAGGAGGTGAAGGCCGCCTTGACGCCCACTGCTCGGGCTTATCTCAACCGAGCCCTGCGCGAGGGCGCGCCTCACCCACCCTCTACCCCAGGCCCGCCGGACCTTTCAGTTGGGCCCCTACCCCGTAGATCCCAACAAACCCCTCACCCTTTCACTGCAAGCCGGCTGCATGAACTGCAGCTGGTCAGCTTCCAAATCGTGCCACGGAAATATTTATACACACTCACGCTTCACACCCTTCACGCCCACACCCTGGTGTCCCGCCCCGATACAAAGTGGCGGGACCTCCTGCCACCTTTGGAGGGTGAGCAACCTCGGTGGGCCAGCCTGTATTCCACCTTGGTCCCGAGGCCCGTCGGGGACATTAGTTGGCTGCTCCTTCACGGAGCTGTGAGCACGGGCGTGTTTTTGACATGGTTTACCCCCATCCCGGATACTTGCCCTTTTTGCAACGTGAGGGAAACCCTAGCGCACGTATAGTTAGAGTGTGCCAGATTGCAGCCCCTTTTCCGGCTCCTCATGAATATTTTATTACGCTTTTGGCTCCACTTTTCCCCTCACCTTTTTATCTACACACTCCCCATCCGTGGCCCCACAAAATTGCGAGATCTCCTGGTTAACCTCCTCCTAGCCCTAGCTAAAACAGCCATTTATAAAACCAGAGAGGGGAGGTTGGCTAATGAAGCGTCCTGCAATTGTAGGGCCGTTTTCCGATCCTCAATACATTCATGTATCTGGGCGGAGTTCCTCTGGGTGGCGTCCATCGACTCCCTTGACGCCTTCGAGGAGCGGTGGGTGCTGTCCGAGGTTCTCTGCTCGGTGACCCCGTCCGGTTCCCTCTGTCTGACCCTTTGATTGAGGGGAAGAGCGAGAGACCCCAGCCCCAGCCGTTGCCGCTGTGGATACCATCATCACTGTCACCTAGGAGGGGTCCTATAACACGTGGGTGTAATCCCCCCCACCCTCAAACCGCCCACCCCGCAGCCGTGCCCATCTTGTCGGGCACTCTCAGGAGAGGAATAATCGGTGACACTGGGCGTGGCACTAGGTAACTCGAGGGGGTGGAAGACCATGAGTGTCGAGGAAGCCCCCCCGCTCTAGGCCACCAGGTAACTCAGGAGGGTGGAAGACCACGAGTGTCGAGGAAGCCCCCCCGCTCTGGGCCCAAGCTAGCCTGAACACTTCTCCCTCCTGAAGGCTGCTGTGTTATACCTTGTGTTTGCTTTTGTTTTGTTGCATAGTTTTGCTTTATCTTTTTTGGTGATTCCTTGTAAGTGTTACACAAATAAAATTCTTTTCTGCTTCAAAAAAGTAAAAAAAAAAAACTCTCCTACTGCCCTCTGGCCATGCTGAGAGAAAAACCCTTAAGAAAATGCAGAAAGTCATTTACAAAAGAGTCCTAGGCTTTTGAAAATGGATACATGGTGGTATATTATATCCAGTGGGGTGAGAAAAACTGCGTAGTCTAGTTGTTGCCCAGTCTAATAGGGTTGAGCATTTAGACTGCATGCTTATATGTTATTTCTGTTGGTAACTAACTCAGACTTTTTGCCTATCACTTAAAATCTGTCTTTTGTAGTCAATAAATTTGTTTAACTGTTTATCTTTACCAGTGAGTTTGCTTGAAGTGTGGGGCAAATCTGCTCAGGTTTGCAAAGGCTGGCATATGTCCTCTTTCCATTGATGAAGTGGTGAACCAGTGAATAAGTTTTCACAGCTCATCTTGAGCAGAGCAAGAGGGTATATTCCCGAGGCGCAGTGCTGGGAGCTGGGGGGATCTGGCTGATGCTTTTCTCTGTGTGATTCATGAGTGGCTCTGGGAGCACTCATGCCGTTTAGCTGGGGGTGGGGCGCCACATGCGGTTGTGCTGAGTGATCACAGTGCCTGGACGGATTTGCTGCTGGTCACTAGCAAAGCATTGTGGGAGACAGCCCAGGCTGCAGAGAGTTCAGGGGGTACAGGGGTCCAATGGTCCCAGCCTGCATCCTGGGGATCCCGTCACAATGGTCACTTACACCAAAAATCACGTCTCTCTTAGGTTGCTTCCAGGCCCAAGAGACCAGTCACTTACCCCAAATCAACTTGTACCCTAGATCCTACACCAAAAACAATGCCTGTAGCCAATCCTATTATAAAGGTTTATTAACTAGGGAAAAGGAATACGAGAGTTATCTGCAGGTAAAAGCAATCAATTAGAGACACGCCAATGAGCTACCACGTAAATCTGAAAAGTGACAGATTTGTAGTGATCTGTCAATTCAAAGGGTCTTTCAGGGTAGATGTAGGAGGCAGCCCCTGGGGATCTCTGGCTTCAGTTCAGAGTCTCTGGCCTTTCTGAGTTCAGACAGCCAAAAAAATGCAATTTCTTCTTGTCAGGGATTTTTATTTCCTTCCCCCAGAGTTCAAGAGCAGGGGAGAAGTTCCCATCCACGTCTCCTCTATATGGGTTGGGGGATGCAATCAACAAAGTGTTTTGTCCTCTGATGTTCCACAATGGCTTGTCTGGTGTCTATGGGCTTTCTTTTGCTGGGCAGGAAATAACACCTCTTGTGGAAAACTTCTATTTCACACTTGGTCATGTTTCGCTTCAGACTGTGGGCGTTTACAGTTTCAGAGCAAACACTTAACTATCACCTTACACCATGGGATATGGACTCTATCCGTGAGATTAATGCAGGCAGCAACATACAAGCATTTCATAGAGTCTAAACACTAAAGACATTCTTAGAAGACTAATACCTATTTAGAGCAAATCTAACACACAGGTGACCTGGTCTGGTCTCCAGTTATGAGGTTGTAAGTTCTCAGCTAATACCTGCAGCCTGGGCAAGAGTGGGCATCAGACCTGCCAGCAGCACACAAGCCAGGCTGTTTTTCTTATCTGCCAGTTAGCCTGATTCACGCAGATGCATGAATCCACGTTCCTTTGTCTAGGGCCGGCTTCTTTATCAACTACCTCCATAACGTATTTCCAGCATACATACGTAACACTTTCTACACAACCCGTGCATACATCACGCAGTGGTGTTCATGACCAATGGGTTACTAGTTTTTATATGATACCTGACAAGATGCCGGTTGCCTAAATATTCTGTCTGCGGTGCTTTGGGTGTGCCCATTGCCAAGTGGCATAAAAGGGCTCTTGGGGTATAAAGGGTTAAGGATATGGATGCCTGGAGGAGGGGGGTACATGCAGAGAGACGTATAGAGAGTTTCCCCTCCTTATTTAGTTGCCTTCCAGGTGTGTGTTGTCACTACCTCGCTGTACAGCACATGCTCATCTTCAGCAGGTTTTAGATTTTTTGTCGGCTGGGTTGCGTGGGCCTGTGAGGCCGGGAATACCATGAGTGCGTAGGTGACTTCTGAGCCCTGGTGAGGGAGGAAAGAGAAATGGTGAGGGGGAGGGGTGCACGGACACTAAGTACTTGGACGCTGGAGTGGAGAGGACGCCTATAAAATAGGTAGTTGCAAAGACATTGGAGGAGAAGATCAAAGTGATCTCAAAAAAATGGAGAATTCCCCTGAAATCAGTAAAATGGAATTCAGGGAAGTGCAAAGTGCTCCCTTTAGGAAGGAAAAATTAAAGGCAGCAGGACAAAAGGGGTTTAACTTGTACGGCAGCAGTCCTGTAGAAAAGGAGTTCTAGTGGAGCCCAAGTTGCGTATGAGTCGATAGCCTTCATCTCAGCAGCACCGTGCTAATATCATTCTGGGGTGTATTTACAGGACTGTCGTGTGTAAGACACAGGAGGTAACAGTTGCCCCACTTGGCACTGGTGAGGACTCAGCTGGAGTATTGTGTCGAGTTTTGTGCCGCTCACTTTAAGAAAGATGTAGACAAACTGGAAAAGATCCAGGGAAGAGCAACAAAAATGTTGTTCAGATGTTTAGAAAATATGTCCTATGCGGAAAGGGCGAAAGAACTGGGCATGCTTAGTCTGGAGATGTGAAAGCTGGAGGGGACCTTAGAACCATCTTCTAACATGACATTAGAAAGAGGACAGTGCTCGATTGTTCTCTGTATCCACGGAAGGTAGGACAAAATGTAATGGGCTTAATATGCAGCAAGTGAGATTTCGGTTAGATATTAAGAGACTCTTTCAATCTCGAAGGGTAGTTAATCTCTGGAACAGGTGACTAGGGAGGTTGTGGAATCTCCATCACTGGAGGTTTTGAAGAACCATTGGACACCCCGTTGGGATGGTCTAGGTTTGAGTAATCCTTCCTTGGCACAGGGGCTGGACTAGATGGCTTCTTGAGGTCCCTTCCAGCCCTACATTTCTGTGATTCAATGGAGTTTGGGGTGATGGGGAAAGGGATGATGAATTCCCAGCCCTGCCTCCTGTGTGAGCAAACCCTGTGCAGCATCTCTTTGTGGCTGTTACCTGTTACCAGAGAGGCAGTTGCATCACAGGACTGGGCAAAAGATTCAGGCCGTGCAGTTTCCAGGTGGTTGGACTGTGCTGGGGTTTGAAGCTTAGCCTATAAATCCATTGACGTTACCTGTTCCATCTGCTCTGCTCCGGTACACGTGGCTTTTGATCCCTCATTATCACAACCAGGATCCAGGTTCCTGGTGTGTTCTCCAGGCTCAGATCCCTTGGTGCTTTTCAGAGGCTTTGGAACTAAAAAAGAACCAGATGAGATCAGAGCTGAGGTGGGGAGAGATTGTGAGGCAATGCCTAGCTACAATGTGCAACCTTGAGAAAGAAGAAGGTAAACTCAGCTTTGTAACTATTGATTTCAGTGCGTGTGTGATTCTGGGGCTTCTGCCAGGGCACAGGGGGAAAACGGTCCTACAATTTATCTGTACAGTAACTCCTCACTTAAAGTCGTCCCAGTTAACGTTGTTGCGTTGTTAAATCGCTGATCTAGTAGAGAACGTGCTCATTTAAAGTTGCGCAATGCTCCCTTATAACCAGGGGCGGCGAGTTACATGGGCCTGTAGTGCCCAGGCTCCAGGAATATTCAGGGCCTGGGGGCCCGGCTCCACCAATGTTCAGAGCCGGGTTTCTCCCCCGGCCCTGTCTGCCACCGCCGCGTGCCTGCCCCAGAGTGTCCCCCGGTCTTGTCTGCCACCCCCCGGGCCTCCCCCGGGCCCCGCAGCGTCCCTGCCTCAAGCGGGCGGCTGCCCTGCAGCTCTGCTCTGTGCTCCCTTGCCGGTGGCGGCGGTGGCCACTGCTGCCTACAGGACAAGAACGGTGCCAGTGGCAGGCTGAGGCGGCTGCTGCACCTGCAGAGGGAGGAGGTGCTCACACGATTGGCAGCCCGGTCGCACCCACCGGGAGGTGACGCTGAGGGGACTTCCAGGAGATGGAGTCTGAACCTCACCTGAGCAGCTGCTGGGGCTTGGATGAATGTCTGACCGTGTGATCCGTGTCTTCCCCCTTCTCCCCCGCAGCCACCACTCCTGCCCCATGCTGGGCAAGGGGCAGCCCCATCCCCTGTGAGGCTATGGTGAGGGGCAGCAGGCTGTAGCAGGGGAGGGGGCCACATGTAATGGCAGCCTCCCCCCCGGCACCCACTACAGGGGAGGCAAGGGGGCTTCTGGGACCCGAGAGGGTCCCGGCCCCTAGGAGCACATGCAGTGATGGTGCTGGATGAGTGTGCTGCCGGGGGGGGGGGGAGAGGGCCGGGGGACTGTGGAGTCCTCTTCTCTGGCCCCAGCCCTGTGGCAGCCTGCCTGCACCCCAAACTCCTCAGCCCCAGCCCCAGCCCCGCCCCATCCCAGAGCCCGCACCTCCAGCCAGAGCCCTCACCTTGCTGTCTCAACTTGCTGACCTACTTAAAAAGGCAATGTACTTAGAGTGAGGTAAGCATACTTAAAGGGGCAATGCACATCTCTCTCTCTCTCACACACAGGGTGTGTGTCTCTTTCTCTCTCTGCCATGCTGTCCCCTCTCCCTCCATTTGTGCTGCCTTGTAGAGTGTGTTAACTTTTGAGGGCTCAGCTGAGTGCTAGTTCATCATTTAGCAGTAAGGCATCTCCTGGGAAATATCCCATCCTCTTCCACCCTCTAACTTCACCACCTCAACCAAGCTTCACGATCATCATTGCTGTGTACAGTATTCAATTGTTTGTTTAAAACTTATACTGTGTGTGTGTGTGTATATATATATATAATATAGTCTTTTGTCTGGTGAAAAAAATGTCCCTGGAACCTAACCCCCACTATTTACATTAATTCTTATGGGGAAATTGGATTCGCTTAACATCGTTTTGCTTAAAGTCGCATTTTTCAGGAACATAACTACAATGTTAAGCGAGGAGTTACTGCATTTGTTTATATATATATTTTCCCAGCACAGAGACATAAAGATGTCTGCAAATTTTAAATTATTTTACCCCTCACTTCACCCTAACCACAAGCAAAGGTCTTAGTGCTCACATCAAATGAAATGATTTGTCTTAACCAACTCAGCTGAAGTTTGATTTATTTGACATATGTGTTAATAAATTGGACATGTACCAATACACATTGGAAAGCCCATAAATATTTTTTAGAACTCTATCTTCTTATTGTACTTTGTCTTCTCGTTCAAAGGTAAATACCTCGTTTACCATGCATATTTTAGAATTTGGTTTCCATACCCACATGGTGGTAGGATTCTTTGTGGTTGTTAATGGTTTAAAACTATTTACACTGATCAGTACAGAATAGTTTTTGATGAGACCATATCACAAAAGCAGGTGGGAGACCACAGCCCCTTGCCCCCTTTCACCCACCTCTTTTCTTCCTATGGCAATACCAGAGCAGAGCAGCCAGGGCTCCAGTCAGAAGTAAGACACCACCAGTTCTCAGCAGAATGTCACGGGTATAGTGTGAGGCTGTTCATGCCGCAGACAAAGAAAAGGGAGGGAAGGGGACATGAGAACAGCTAGGCAGCCCTGTCAAAAGGTCTGGTACCCACAGAGGAATCCGCCCTTGAAACAAATTTGCTGTGATGACAGCCCCTCACTATATTGCCTATTGCACATTCTGTCTGGAACAGCCTGCTCCCCTTTCCAAAGGGGGGAAGGATGATCCAGTGGCTATGGGGCTGGCCTTCAACACTGGCTATGGGGGTTCAATTCCCTGCTATACCGCAGACGCCCTGTGGGACTCTTCTCTTTGCCTCTATTCCCCATCTCTAAAATGGGCACTGCGGGGCTAAATCCACTAACAACATTGTGCGGAGCTCAGATAATAGGTCATGTGGGTCATGGAAGTATCATAGATAGAAAGGGCATGGGGAAAGAGGGGGGTTTTCATCTCCACTTTGGTTTCGATCTCCATGTGACATCTGTCACCTCATCCGACCTCCCTTTCCCACGAGAGCTCCTGGGGATGGTTCTCCTCCAATGGGAGCAAATCAGGGAGCTGGATTAAAAAAATTAGGGAAGTCTCACCTGTCACAGTGACATTCAGAGCGTGGCTCCTGGGGGATGGGATCCACCTCCCACTCATGTTCTCCTCGTATCCACAGGTGAATTCCCCAGTGTTGCTGGGACCGGCCTGCAGGATGCTGAGCACAGAGATGTTCATAGAGCTGGTGCTGGGCTCTGTGGTGCTGATCTCAGACCCTGCATCCCCAGGAACGAGCTTGACACTGTCCTTGTAGAAGTGAAACCTCCGCTGATCAGCATCCCTGGGGGCCATGCAGATGATGAGCAGGGGGAACCCTTTGCTCACCACTCCGGATGGGGGATCCATGCTCAGCGAAGGCTGGGGAGGGCAATCTGTGGGGATTAAAAAAGGAGAGGGGTCAGCAGAGGCATGGCGGTGGAGAAAGTGGAGATGGTGCCCAGAATTCAGTTTATTTACAGCTGAACTTTATTCTTGCTCCAGAGTCTTGTGCTTCTCTTCAGCATCCTGAGGGGCTCCCCACGGAAATGAGCGAGAGCCAGGCTAGGGGGTCGGGATGGCTTCCTTCAGATACAAGGCGGGGCTGGGATGTGGGGGTCAGAAGGTGGCCAGGGGCACTAGGCCGTGACTCATTTTCTGTCACCCCTCCATTACTAATGCTCCAGCCCCTGATATTTATGGAGACCTTGGTAGTTAGGGAGGGCCCAGTTCTCTCTGTAGATCCCGCCCACTCTGGCCAGACTGGCTGAGAGCTGGGTGGCCCTTTTGGGATTCTACCTCCCCAGAGGGGAGAGGCACAAGGTGGCCTGTTGGATGCCCAGATCTGTGTCTGTTGGGCAGCCATGTTCTTGGCTATGTTGAGTAGCCATATGTTGTGCTGCTCTCTGAAGGGCAGCCACACATTGGAAATCAGGCAGCCATATTGGATAGACATGTCCTTGGCTGTGTTGAGCAGCCTTGTTTTATGGCTGTGATGACATCAGAATAGAAGCCATGTGCCAGTTAGCTGGGCATGTAAGGCAGTGAGGAGGCCATTTTCCCAGTTGGGCAGCCATGTTAGACCTGAATGTTGTAGCATGAGGCTCATCAGGAGCATGAAAGAGCAAAGAGGGGGCAGAAGAGGAGGGGAATAAAAGGAGCAGATGTTAATTCAAAGGCTAGAGTCCAGCATGGAAGGAGGGAAAGAGGATAATAAGCAGAACTGGAATCAGAAGAGGCAGAAGCAGGGGTCAGAGGGGCGCTGGTCCTGCTCTAGTTCTCTGGCCCATGCAATGCTGGAGGTCAGATTAGTTGGACAAAGTAGTCATTTCTGGGTTGGGAACCTATGAAGTATGATCTATGATCCATTGACTGGCCTGGATTACCCAGGCCTGGGGCTCTGGTTTCTTCGCCTCAGCTGTGAGCCCCAGCTGGCCCCTCCTGGTTGAGATGGGGACCACGTCAGAGATCAGCTCTCCTCCTTGGCTGTTGGGTCTGTGCCTAAGAGGAATGAGTTGGGGAAAGGGTGAAGCAGAGAGGCTGGGGCTGGTCTGGAGAGAAGAGGGAGGGGAAGATGATTGTTCTGTGGAGAGGAGCGTCTGGGGCAGATGGGGCAGTGCAGAGGGGCGTTTGCCCCAGGGTCTGCTACCGGGTCTCTGGGCAGTCAGGCTGGGGAGACTGCTGAGGAGAGGCAGGGCATGGCCTGGGGTGCCAGCAGCACAATTCCCAGGTGTGGCTGGGAAGGGCTGGAGAAGGGCCCTCCCCAGTGATGACCCTCAAGTCTCAACCACCACCAGGTGGAAATAGGTCTCACCATCACTGACACTAGGGCTCCTTTCAGATGGGATCTTTCATCCACACTCCACTCTCCAGTACAGACAGGTGTACTTTTTGCTGTCTGCTATGTAAGTTGTGCTAATCAGCCAGGTGTCCTGGCAGGAGACCCAGTTGAAAATCCACCTCCCTCTTTGATTTAAGAACTTGTATCCCCTGTTGTTTCCTCACTCATTGGACCAAAGCACTTGAGCGTGACCGGCTCCTCTCAAATATAGATAGGGTGAAGTGGGTCCAAAGAGAGCATGGGGGGAGGTGGAGTGTCTGGTATAGAGATAGAGAGGGGGACCCCCACAAAATGAGGAAGGGAGATATATGAGAAAAGTCCCTGACACACAGAGACACAAACCACCCCGATCTCCCTGCCCAGTGCTGTCTAACATAGGCTGATGGAGATGGGCTGGTTCTTCCCACCTTGGATCTCCTGGCTGGATGGGGGTACCCACTACACAGGTGCACAACCCAGAGACCCCAGAGCTGTGATCCTCAAGGGGTGAGTGAAGCTGCCCCTGGATAAGCCCCAAGCTGAGATGCTCCATCCTCCTGCCATGTCAAATTGGAATCCTGCAGCTTTTTGACCCCAGGGGCAGCCCAGCATGTGAGGGGAACAGGGTTTCCAGGGAGGTACCCGAGGTGGTCTGGGCTCAGGGAGAGGGTTGGGGCCACAGCGGGGTCTGGAAAACAGGGGTCAGCATTACATACAGAAGAAGGGTCACACCCTGCAGGGATCACTGGAAGGGCCTGGGAGGTGAGGGGCAGATGTTACCAGGTAAAATTCATCATAGGAATTAGAGGGGGATGGAGACTTCTCTGTGGGAAACTCCCTGCACCCCTGCACCTCACTGAGCCCCAGTGTTGCACTGTGCCCACATGTTACCCAGCAGGAGGCTGGGTATCTCTGTGTGGGATCCACTGGCTGGACTGGGTTGCCCAGTGCCCAACAGGAGTAAGGGATGGGTGGTCTGTCTCAGCTTTGAGCATCAGCCGGTCACTCCACTGGGACCAGGGACCTCTTTAGAGACCAAATCCCTGCTTTGAGGGAAGGATTTGTATCCAGTGGTGCTTTCATGCCCAGGGCCCGAGCACCTCAGGGCAGGACCTTCCCCCCCGCATACACATGGGCCGTAGGGATCCTGATGAACTGGTGCCAGCAGTGGGTAAGGGTGACATCAGAAATTGATCCCTCTTCTGATAAAAATTATGAATGAAGTGGCAGGGCTGAGGGCGTAGAACTAGAAGACTTGTGAGCGAGGATGACAGGGCTGAAAGTTCCCCCACAGCTGTGCCCTCTAAGTGACAAACTTCTCAGATCAGCTAGGAGCCTCTCCATGCTGTTGGGGTGCCCAGCCCCCCACCCCCGTGTCTGACATCAGGGCCTGACACTGACAAGAGATGGCCTCCAAGTTTTAGATGTTACTGCTGGCTGGGAGTCCCTAAAACCCAAAGTAGCACTATAGACCCCCGGCAACATCCACTAGAGGAGCCAGAGATCCAGGGAGTGACACTAACCAGCCATGGTGGGTTTGAAACTGACCCAGCTGGTGGCCGGGTCTGGAGCTGAGTGACTGGGCTGTGTCTCACCCCATGTACGGAGCAGAGATACACCACCACAGAGCCAGCAAACAGCAGGAGACAGGGGGACTGACCTGTCACTGTTATGGAGATGAGTTGGCTCCTCTCCGATGGGATCTCTCGCCAAAACAGTGTCTTCCAGGATTCACAGGTGTACATTCCGGCTTGTGATCTAGACATCTCCGACAGTTGAATGGACTCAGTGTAACTGTACCAAGGTGTGGGGAGTTCCTTGGAGTGGATTTTCTGGCCGTCTCTGAAGAACCAGATCCCGGACACAGTGGATGCCCCATCAGCTGAGCACGTCAGGGTCACAGTTTCTCCCGTTACGTAGACAGGCTGCTTCGGGGACACGGTGAGCTGGGGAGCCGGCAGGGGGGCTGGAAAAGACAAGGGGGTCGGGGAAGAGACGGTTCCTACTTTGGAGGCTGGTGACACAGAAGCAGAGGAAGATACAGAGAGAGAGCAGAAGAGGGAGGGATCCTGACACAGACCCCAGCCAGCCCTAGCTCAGTGCCCAGTAACCACGTCCCTGCCGGGCCATGCACACACTGAGCAGCAGAGATCTCACTGCCAGGAAACCCAGTGGGACCAGCGTCCCCTCCTCGGTACCTGAGGGGGCAGCTCCTGCCCAGGGCCAGCTCAGCCTGCAGGGGCTGGGAGGGGAGGGCTTGTGTGGCTGAGGCCGGGGGTGTCAGGGAGCTGCCCCCAGCAGGCACAGACCAGGCTTCCCTGCACTAAGGGCAGGTGGTAGCGACGTGCCTCAGAGCCCTGGGTACCCCCCGTGGGAGCATCACACACGCCAGTTGGGGTCTGGCCCCATTGACTCCAAAGGAGCTAGGGCTCATTTACATTGATCTAGCTCTACCCATAGACTCCCTCGGAGATTTTGCTGATTCTCACCAGCTGGGATCTCGCTCCTTCCTAGCGAAGCCTCTGAAACCAGCCCCCTGGTCCCGCTGGGGCCTTGGGGTGAGTTTTAAACTAATGTTTCTGCTGCATCGCAGGGAGCGTTTGCACGGACGGGGAGTGATGGGGCTGGGGAGGTTTTCCAGTCCCCAAACCTTGACTCCGTGTGACGGGTATTGACCCCGCACTGGCGCCAAGAGGGGCAACAGGAGCTGGAGAGCTTGTCATGTCAGAATCCTGCATGTTGACGATCCCGGCCTAGCCTGTGCTGGGAACTGGCTCTCCAGGTGCGTACCCGGGGAGATCACGGCCCAGGGAGAGGGACCGGGCCACAGAGGGGTCTGGAAAACAGGGGTCAGCGTTAGATGTAGAAGAAGGTCAGACCCTGCAGAGATCTCTGGGAGGTGAGGGGCAGATGTTACCTGCTGAGCCATGCAAACACTGAGCAGCTGAGATCTCCCTGCTGGGAAACCCAGTGTTACCAGTGTCCCCTTCTTGGTACCTGAGCAGGGCAGCTCCAGCCAGCGCCAGCTCAGTCTTCATGGGCTGGGAAAGGAGGGATGTGCGGATGAGACTAGGGAGTCAGGGAGCTGCCCACAGCAGGCACAGACCAGGCTTCCTCACCCTAAGGGCGGGTGGTAGGAGCATGCCCCAGAGCCCTGGGTATCCCTGGGGAGCATCACACATGCTCTCTGCTGAGTAAGTCATGCTGATCACCGAGGTGCCTTGGCTGAAGACACCTTTGGGGATCTGCTCCGCTCTTTGAATGAGGAACCTGTATCCCGTCACCCTCTCACTCCTGGGAGCCGAGCACTTGAGGGTGACTGACTCCACTCGGATATATGCGGGGTGCAGGGAGACAAGAGAGAGCATGGGGGTGGTGGAGAGTCTGGAATGGAGATCGAGGGGGGAACCACCACCAAATGAGGCGCACGGGGAGATAGATGAACAAAGACCCTAATACACACAAGCCACCCTGATCTCACTGCCCAATGCCACTTCCCGCAGGCTTGCCAGCTGGTATCTCCCGGTTGGACAGGCGTATCCAGTACAAGCAGGTGCATGACCCAGAACCCCTCTGCCCCTGTGACATTCAGGGTTCGAGTGAAGCTACCCCCAGATAAGCCCCGAGCTGAGGTGCTCCATGTTCCCACCACATTGAATTGGAATCCTGCAGCTTTGTGACCCCAGGGGCAGCCCAGCATGTGAGGGGAACAGGCTCTCTGGGAAGGTACCCAGGGAGATCAGGGCTCAGGCAGAGGGTCGGGGCTGCAGGGGGGTCTGGAAAACAGGGATCAGGGTTAGATACAGAAGAGGGTCACACCCGGCTGGGATCTCTGGAAGGCCTGGGAGGTGAGGGGCAGATGTTAGCAGGTTACATTCATCTCAGACATTTAGAGGGGGACAGAGACTTCTCCATGGGAAACTCCCTGCTCCCCTGTACCTCACTGAGCCCCAACCCTGCACTGTGCCCACATGTTACCGAGATGGAGGCAGGGCCTCATGGTGTGGGATCTGCTGGCTGGACTGGGTTGCCCAAGACTAAGGGACGGGTGCTATCTGTCTCACATGTGAGCGACAACTGCTTTCAACTACCTGAAAGGGGGTTCCAAAGAGGATGGCTCTAGACTGTTCTCAGTGGTAGCAGATGACAGAACAAGGAGCAATGGTCTCAAGTTGCAGTGGGGGAGGTTTAGGTTGGATATTAGGAAAAACTTTTTCCCTACGAGGGTGGTGAAGCACTGGACTGGGTTACCTAGGGAGGGGGTGGAATCTCCGTCCTTAGAAGTTTTTAAGGTCAGGCTTGACAAAGCCCTGGCTGGGATGATTTAGTTGGGGACTGGTCCTGCTTTGAGCAGGGGGTTGGACTAGATGACCTCCTGAGGTCCCTTCCAATTCTGATATTCTATGATTCTATGATCAGCTGGTCGCTGGTCACTCCACTGTGTTACGAATTACACCTTGTAGGACACGCACACAACTGCTGCGAATTATACCTGGTAGGACACACACACAAGTGCTACGAATTACACCTGGTAGGACACGCACACAAGTGCTACGAATTACACCTGGTAGGACACGCACACAAATGCTGCGAATTACACCTGATAGGACACCCACACCAGTGCTGCGAATTATACCTGATAGGACACGCACACCAGTGCTGTGAATTATACCTGATAGGACACGCACAGTTCGAATCTAGGCTGAGGCACAGAAACAAAGTCCACAACTGCAGAGTTCCCAAAAGACACTAAGTTTATTACGCTCGAGCGTGGTGCCCCCCTGCTAGCCAGGAGGGGACCCTGAATGCAGATTATACAAAGGTTATATACTTTTTAGCAAAGCATGTTGCCCTCGTGCATCGGAAACCTTAGCCAATAAACAAACCCTTGTCTTATCTACCACCTATCCCTGCTTGGTGCATTCCTCGTGCTACACCAGTATGTTAATTACACAGCATGGTCCTAAAGCGATGCATCAGTTACTTTTAGTGTTAGGATGGGAGGCCTCACATCAAGGCCAAGAGACAGGGAGTTAGAGACTGACAAAAACCAGATACTGGGAGTCAAGGCAGGCTGGAGACAAGGAGGAGGATTTTCACAGGGATTCAATATCTAAGGATTACTCCTTCTGGTGTATGATGTGCTGGCATTTAAACAATGGTGGGCCCCAAACCAAAATGGAGTCACATGTGCTAACTTTTCCTTAACAACTGGGACCGGGGACCTCTTTGGAGATCACATCCCTGCTTTCAGAGAAGAATTTGGATCCTATGGTGCTTTCACCCTCGGGAGCCGAGCACCTCAGGGTGTACCTTCGTCTCCCATAGACATGGGCAGTAGGGGATCCTGGTGTATTCATGCTGGCAGGGGTGACAACAGAAACTGATCCACCTCCTGATGATAATCATGAAAGAAGCAGCAGGGCTGGGTCCTTAGAACTGGTTGCTCTGTAAGCCAGGACAACAGGGCTGCGAGCTCTCCACAGCAGTGCTCAGGGCTGTGAGCTTGCCCCACAGCAGTGCTCTCTTAGTGCCAAACTTTAGTGATCAGCTGGGACCCTCTCCCCCCAAGGCATGTCGGACACCAGGGCCTCACACTGACCAGAAAAGGGGGAGATTTGGGATTTGTTTCAATAAACATCGCCAAGTTTTCCAATGTTACTTCTGCCTGGGATCCCGCAAAACTTAAAATAGCAGGAATGTCCCCGCAAAACCCACCACAGGATCCAGAGAGCCAGGGAGTGACACTAACCCAGTGGGTGGCCCTGTCCCGAGCTGAGCGACCGGGCTGTGTCTCACCCCGTGAATGGAGGAGAGATACCCTGCCAGAGGGCCAGCAAACAGCAGGAGACAGAGGGGTCTCACCTGTCACTGCTATGGAGATGGGTCGGCTCCTCTCCGATGGGATCTCTCGCCCGGACACTGTCTTCCAGGATTCACAGGTGTACGTTCTGGCTTGTGATCTAGACACCTCCGACAGTTGAATGGACTCAGTGTAACTGTACCAAGGTGTGGGGAGTTCCTTGGAGTGGATTTTCTGGCCGTCTCTGAAGAACCGGATCCCGGACACTGTGGATGCCACGTCAGCTGAGCACGTCAGGGTCACAATTTCTCCCGTTACGTAGACAGGCTGCTTTGGGGACACGGTGAGCTTGGGAGCCGGCAGGGGGGCTGGAAAAGACAAGGGGGTCGGGGAAGAGACGGTTCCTACTTTGGAGGCTGGTGACACAGAAGCAGAGGAAGATACAGAGAGAGAGCAGAAGAGGGAGGGATCCTGACACAGACCCCAGCCAGCCCTAGCTCAGTGCCCAGTAACCACGTCCCTGCCGGGCCATGCACACACTGAGCAGCAGAGATCTCACTGCCAGGAAACCCAGTGGGACCAGCGTCCCCTCCTCGGTACCTGAGGGGGCAGCTCCTGCCCAGGGCCAGCTCAGCCTGCAGGGGCTGGGAGGGGAGGGCTTGTGTGGCTGAGGCCGGGGGTGTCAGGGAGCTGCCCCCAGAAGGCACAGACCAGGCTTCCCTGCACTAAGGGCAGGTGGTAGCGACGTGCCTCAGAGCCCTGGGTACCCCCCGTGGGAGCATCACACACGCCAGTTGGGGTCTGGCCCCATTGACTCCAAAGGAGCTAGGGCTCATTTACATTGATCTAGCTCTACCCATAGACTCCCTCGGAGATTTTGCTGATTCTCACCAGCTGGGATCTCGCTCCTTCCTAGCGAAGCCTCTGAAACCAGCCCCCTGGTCCCGCTGGGGCCTTGGGGTGAGTTTTAAACTAATGTTTCTGCTGCATCGCAGGGAGCGTTTGCACGGACGGGGAGTGATGGGGCTGGGGAGGTTTTCCAGTCCCCAAACCTTGACTCCGTGTGACGGGTATTGACCCCGCACTGGCGCTAAGAGGGGCAACAGGAGCTGGAGAGCTTGTCATGTCAGAATCCTGCATGTTGACGATCCCGGCCTAGCCTGTGCTGGGAACTGGCTCTCCAGGGGGGTACCCGGGGAGATCACGGCCCAGGGAGAGGGACCGGGCCACAGAGGGGTCTGGAAAACAGGGGTCAGCGTTAGATATAGAAGAAGATCAGACCCTGCAGAGATCTCTGGAAGTCCCTGGGAGGTGAGAGGCAGATATTACAAGGCAAATTTCATTTCAGAAATTAGGAGGGGTTGGAGACTTCGACAAGGGAAAGTCCCTGCACCCTGGTACCTCACTGAACCCCAACGCTGCACGGTGCCCAGATGTTTCCCAGCTGGGGTAAGGTATTGGGTGATCTCTGTCTGAGCTGTGAGCGTCATCCAGTCACTCTACTGGGACCAGGGACCTCTTTGGCGACCAAATCCCTGCCATGATAGACTAATTTGTGTCCTATGGTGCTTTCACCCCAGGGGCCAAGCACCTTCCCTTCCCATACACATGGGCAGTGAGGGATCCTGGCATATTGGTGCTGGCAGGGGGTTGGGTAACATGATAGTAACCAATGCCTCCCCTGACAGAAATCGTGACTGAGGAATCCAGGCAGCTGCAGGGCTGTAGGTTTACAGAGTGTGGCCCTGACAGCAGCCACCTGGGACCCTGGTGATGGAGCTACTGTTCCTAGACGAGATCTCTTGATTGGATTCCAATCTCCAGTACGCACAGCTGTATGACCCAGCATTTCCCTTCTCTGCTGTGAACTCCAGCCGGGCTCCAGCGTTAGGGTTGAGGACTACGCTGGAGTCCTGCTGCCCTTTGTGATAGAAGAATCTGTATCCTGAAACCTCCTCGTGCCCAGGAGCCGAGCATGTGAGGTTAACCCGCTCCCTTGGGAGATACTCTGTGTACCAGGACTCCTGCAAGAGTTTGGGGGCTGGCGAGAGATCTAGAAGAGAGGCAGAGGGGCACTGTTGAGGGAGAGGCCACTATGGAATAAGAAGGGAGAAGGCGGAAGAGATGAGTCCTGGACAGACATGATCACAAACCAGCCTCATCTCACTGCCCAGCAGCCACCCCCACGCTGGGAATTATACCACAGTCTGTCTCGCTCTCTCTCCCTCTGGGGTCTTTTCATTGATCCCAAGGCAAGAAGGGACCATTGTGATCATGGAGTCCGACTTCCTGTGTCATCTAGGCCCTAGGACTTCCCTGAATTGATTCCTCTGTGACCTAGAACAGATCTCTGAGAGAAATAGTCAGGCTTGATTCAGAAATCGCCAGCGCTGGATTGTCCCAGTGGTTAATTCCCCTCCCTCTTAAAAATCTGCACCTTATTTTCTGTCTGAATTTGTCTAGCTCCAGCTCCCAGGCACTGGGTTGTGTTAGGTCTTTGTCTGTTCTACTGAATAGCCGTTGATTGTCCAATTTCTGTTCCCCAGGTAGGAACTGCTAGATTGT